CAAAATTTAGCAAGATGGCCTTTACGATCGCAAATAGAGCATTTGTAAACTTTGCTATACAAGTGTGCATAGTGTGTGTTTGATTTAGAAGTGTCAACACGGGACTTTGCACACAAGTCCATAAGTTTCTTATGGTTAATAATGCATGAATTAAGAATTGAATCTAAAGAGGTAATACGATTTTTAATATCATTCAACCCATCATTAGGCACATATGCATTAACATTAGAAGTAGAACATAAATAGTCATTTATGAAAGAAGCAGTATCATTTTGTATGTTCTCTACTTCTAACATGTCATTATTTTTAACATGACATAAGCTAGTGATGGATGAGGTTAATTTTTCATTTTTCAAATTTAACATATCATTGTTTTCTTTAAGCACAATATTTTCTTTTGCAATGACATCAAATTTGGAACCTAGCAACTCATGATCGGATTTCAAATTAACATGCTTGCTTTTTTAATCTATAAAATTATTATGCAACTTAGTGTAGGCATGCATGAATCTATCATATGCACAAGCGAGTTCATTGATGGATATATCACTATCGGATTCCGAATCGCTTACCGTACTAGGGTTATCCCCTAGTTGACGTGTGCATGATGCTCCACTATTACTTGAAGTCGATTCCGCCACAACGCGTTGAATCTCCTCTAAATCTCCTTGATGTGCTTCAAAAAGTTTCCAAATCGTGTAAGCACTATCAAAATGAGCAAGGTCGTTAGAAATACATGGTTCAAAAGCATTATGCAAGAGTTCTAACATTAACTTGTTCATTGTAAACATTTACTTATCATGATTGCTCCACTTGGATTTCTCAATTGTGGGCACAATATAAGCACAATCAATAACTTTTCATAAGTTGATATTTCTAGATTCAACAAATATTTTAAATTTAGAGCACCATTGAGTATAAGGAAAATTTTTATATTTTGGAGCAATATTTGGATTATAGCCTAAACGAAATACATTCATATTCATGATATATATGTGAATATATGCAAGCAAGACAAATGCAATCATAACTAGATTAGCACAAATAAGATAACTTGGATCTTTAACTCAAGGCGATTAGTCCTTAAATCAAAGAGCACCAAGCTCTGATACCAATTGTTAGACCCTAGAGGGGGGGGGGGGGGTGACTAGGGTCTTATGCTAATCTAATCCGAGTTTATGCCAATTAAAACTAATAACAAGTTATCGTAGCAAGTATGAAATACAACAAGATATATGAGCTAGGATAAGCAATATAAACAAAGAGATATATCCTAGCAATGAGATATATTATGAGATATATGCAAGGATATACAAATTAACACAAGGGTGAAATAAACATAAACAAAACAAGAGTGATAGTGTGCAAATAAACAATACAAACACACAATATGATCATGGAGTTCGGACCTTCCGTCCTACGTCTCCGCTCCCCACTCCCGGGGAGAAATCCACTATCACAACCGGGTTTTCTACGCTTACCCGAACAACGTTTACACACTCACACTCGGTTTTCTAGCTAAGCGAAAACTTTACAACTACACACTTGCAATCACACTCTACACCCTCTAAGTGTTGGCCTAGTCTGTGTCCTCCTCCTCAAGTGCTCAGATGCGACCTCTCCCTAGGTTCGTCAACCGACGCCACTCCTCTTTGATTCGACCCTGTCTCTCACCAACCACTCCTCTCGGTATACAAGTGTATTACAAAGTGTATCCTCACAATGAAGCTCACAAATACAAATAATTTGTTCTCTACAATAGATGAGAACACAATGTAGGCTCAAACTCTAAGTTACACTCCCCACAACCCAAATTATACTATGTATGAAATACAATAAGCTCAATGGTTGTGTGTAAATAATGAGATATAATAAAACAAACTAAACTCAAATAAATCTAGCTTATGGAAATTAGAATCAAAACAATAAATAGCTAGAATGAGTTTAGGAAAACTTCTCTATAGATCAAGAGTGAGAGAGAGATGGGTTGAATGCCCAAACTTCAATTGATGATCTCCTCAAGCTCTTGTGAAATTGTTTTCACAAAATCAAATTCTCAAATGCTTAAAAGTTTTTTAAACAAAATTAAACCAACCATAAACCCTTGTTAAAACTTTCTTAAACTTGTTTAAAACACTCTCATGGTTGTTGCTGGTAGAAGGGGGTTTGAGGGGTTTATATAGGAAGAGAAACCAACAGCAAAAACCCCAAACAAAAGACCAGAAACCCCAAAAAATTAGAAATCTGATTCTATACAAAATATGACCGTTGGGCGATCGGCGGTCGACCGTTCTTAAACTTGTTTAAAACACTCTCATGGTTGTTGCTGGTAGAAGGGGGTTTGAGGGGTTTATATAGGAAGAGAAACCAACAGCAAAAACCCCAAACAAAAGACCAGAAACCCCAAAAAATTAGAAATCTGATTCTATACAAAATATGACCGTTGGGCGATCGACGGTCGACCGCGACGGTCGACCGCGAGAGCATCCGATCGACCGTCACGGTCGACCGTGAGCCTCTGAAAAACTTTCTGAGTCTCTAGACTCAAGGGCGGTCGACCGTGGCGGTCGACCGCGAACTGATATATGCAATTGACAGGTTTGAAAACTGTTTTCTGATTTTGAAACACTGTTTAAAAATATCAAATAAATTCTAAAAATTATGAAACTTTGGAAAATGATTGTAGACATAATAATACACAAGTTATAAAAACTGGTTTTCAAAAAGGACCTCCCAAATAAAAAATATTATTATTTTACAAAAATAGTCCAAAACATAAAAATGTAAACATATGAGTTTTGACATTTTAGCTTAACTATATTTTGAAACAATACAAAATGATTATATAAACTTAATAAAAGATGTATATGATTGTTATTAAGTCTATAAACCAAGAAAATAATATTTTCACAAAATTATATATTTTGCAAACATTTCAAAAGTAAATATGATTTCATTGAACTAAATAAAATTGATATTGATGAAATCATATATATACATGTAAGTATGAAACAAAAATATATTTTATAATTATATTCAATTGTTTCATATTAAAACTTGAAAATTATCAAATCAAAACATATATGTATATATATAACTATATATATACAAAACCAAAACGTGTATGTGTGTATATGATTGAGCTTAAAGTACTAACACACATAATATAAAACCTAAACTAAATATACCAAATCAATCTTGATCTTCAATAAGCTTGACTTGGTACACTTGCGGATGAAGCTTGAACTTGAATCTTTAACTTTGAATTGCGTAGGCTTTACTCCATAATTCCGCCAACCTCCATTGGATATGATCGTGAATGTGCAATTCCATCCATCCTCCAATATATTGTTTGTCTACAATAAATAAGAAATAACGAATACTAGACAAGCAACATTAGTGGTAAATTGTTTGTTAAACATCATTAAAACAAAGAGACCAATAGGGGATTGCACAGGAGACCATTCGGGTATATTGTGATAGCATGTCAGCTATCTATTTGGCGAAGAACCAGGTTTATCATGCGCGCATGAAGCACATCGGTGTCAGATTCTACTTTGTTCGTGGCGTTTTGGATGATGGAGACGTCATATTGGAGAAGGTCCACACGAACGACAACCCTGCAGATATGTTGACCAAAGCTGTTTGAGGAGTGAAATTTGGTCATTGTTTGAAGCTTTTGAATATTCTTCAGTGTTGAGGCCTTTAGAGGCCATTTGGGTGAACTACGTTCGGCTTGATTCATTGGGCAAGAGGATACGTAGGCAGTCTTTCAGAGACAGCCGGTTTTGTTGATTCAGATTAGGGGGAGATTACATTTCAGCTCTAGTTTGGTTCCCGGACTTGTTGCGGAACTACTGGATGATTTGGTGTCAGTTCAGTTTTGGTAAAAACATTCGCCGAGGTAGAGAATTGAAGGAATGACGAAAGAGTGCAGGAAAACAGCAGAAGAATCAGCCAGGCAGACTGGCGGTCGACCGCTGCGGTCGATCGCGAACGTGCACGAAGGCCAGTGGGATTCGGAGCTGAAGGCGGTCGACCGTGGCAGTCGACCGCGGGGACCCTGTAGGCGATTATCTCTCGGGAAATCAGTTCGGTCGACCGTCGCGGTCGACCGTCGCGGTCGACCGCGAGTTTGACTGTAGGATTTGGTTCTCTGTCGGGGGTGTTCGGTCGACCGCGAGCTTCGTGCGGTCGACCGCGAGACCTGCGCGGTCGACCGTCGCGGTCGCCCCCCCCCCCCCCCCCCCCCCTCTCATTGCCCCGTGGACGTAGGCAACTTGCCGAACCACGTAAATCGTTTGTTCTAGTTGTGGTTGTGATTTGCTTATTGGTTGTGGTTTATCTCTTGGATTGTTCGTGTCACTCCTCGAAGCTTCCGCCGCGCACAACAATTAACAATTTAATTAGTGTTTAGTTACATGACCAACTATCTAAGCAATTACAATATAGGTATGAACGTCTAATTAGGGAATAAATACACCGACCAACCATCCAGTTAATAACCCCTCTATAATTATAGCTAACGTTCAACCCCAAGGCGAAAAACTAAAACAGCTGCTAGTTGTCGGCAATATTCATGCAATGATCTTTATTTCCGTTGCATGTCTAAGTTTACAAGGATGCTGGAAGTAAAAATGCATTAGTAACATAGCGGAGAAATATTCAGATGTAACAATCGATATCATATAATTTTAATAGCTTATGTTGTTCTCATCATAAACCTCGGATGCTGCCTTATTCACATGTATTTTTATTGACACATAACTACGAATTCCTATTGGCTTCGTTTAGCCAGGTGCTACTAAAATAATTGAATAAATTTTTCGTTAAGGCTTTGAGTATCCGATGAACAGCCGGAGGATCCAAGGCCTAGCCAACTTTGCCTGCTCAATGATTTTTTCATACTTCTCTGTTTGTTTGTTTTTTCAACTTTTTCTATAGGTCATAATTCATTATTTCCATTGGTCTAGTTAAGTATCCAGTCTATAAATAATGTGAGATATTGCTTACGAAACCACAAGCTATAACTGAAATATCCATACTGTGTTCTTTCTTCAAGCAAAGGAACCATGGCTGATGAATCAATTGTCGCTGGATTAGAGAAAGTTCAGGTTGAAGGAACTCAACAAACCGAAAACGCAAAGGCAAGTGAGGAGAAAACTGCTGCCCCTGGGAAAATTCAATGTGATAGCTCTAATTCCAGCGGTGACTCTGGATCGGTAAGATTTATTTAGATGCAGATATCACAGTTTTAAAAAGCCTAAACAGCTACTAGCTAGTGTATCAGTTTAATGAAGAAGTATACTATGTCGAAAAAAAAATTGATGATCATATTCTGGAGAATACACCTGAGTTTATGTAGGGAGGTACAACCGATCACATGTGTCATAACAATTAAGGCACATGTTCTGCAATCAAGAATAATCAAGGTACATATACTATAATTAGAGGTTAGCATGTTTGATATAATCAAGGGATGGTATATGACTAAAAATCATGCATTAACATCTTTCATCCTATTTTATTCCTTATTTAATTATTAATACAGGAAAGTGAGAAAGATGCATCTAAAGTGACGGGAGGTAGTCAAGAGAAGAAGAAGAAGAAGAAAGCACTGAAGAAGGCAAAGAAAACAAAGGCGACTAAGAAAAATGGGGAAGGTAATAGCGCAACTAATAAGCTCCAATGTCACAGCAGCAGCTCTGACTCTAAATCTGGGTCTGGAGGTGATAGCAGTGGCTCTGAGTCTTGCTCTGGAGATGACTCCAAATCTGAATCGAGATCTGTAAGAAATACTAACAGCATGAAATTTTTTTCCTTCTTCATATTCCTTTGTTACTTCAGGGGCACATGAGTTATATCTGCTTTCAGTCACACCCTTGTGCCCTGTTTGGTAATATAGCACACCAGTATGCAAATATTTATGGCTTAGTTACACATAGAACCCTCGTAGTATCACTATTTTGAGCTTACTACCCACGTAGTTTTCATTGTTGCATATACACCCCAGGGTTAAAATTTTCTGACTCTCTTACCCTCATATAGTCTCACTGATTTCACCAGTAGCTGTGTATGCAAAAAATATCCCTCAGGATAAAAGAAAAAAAAAGAAGAAATCTAATCCAGGCGGTGCAACTATGAAACTATAAGGGTAGTAGCTAGCAAGTTCAAAATAACGGGGGTCAAATGTGCAAGTAACCTATATTTATAAGATCAGAAATTAGTGAGTAGTTATCATAGTACATCCATCTGATAAAAAAAGATGGTTGTATGTTGTCTAAATAATAGAAAAGATTACTAATGGATGGAAAGAACCTATGTCGTTTATCGAATCTAGACATGATTCTATTGATTTGAACCCACATCTTAAAATCCTGATATTGATGTCACTTCTGAGCTAGGAAATTGTATGCCTTCTGGTACGTTTTAGGATCAGAAGCTTGTATTGGGTATAATCCATCATCGCTACTTTTTTCTGTAACTTGAGCAAAGATACTGGGATTGAACTTTTGAGGTATAACTTGGAAATATTTCAAGATAAAAATGGTCTTATACTGCTGAAGGCAAAAATCTCCATCAGATATAAGCTTTCCTTTATACTGATTAAGGCACTTAAACTTCATATTTTACTTGGTGCTCTAAAGCTTTCAGAACTCGGAAATTTCCTGATAATGCATTAAACCTGATGTATCTGAATTTTAAATGTGCATGTTGTGCTGGAGAAGTTTCAATAGACATTTGTGGGCAATCAATTTATTTATTTATAAACCAATTCTGTAATTATAATTATTCCTCTGAATTCAGGCAAACAAACATTTGGAAGAATTAAAGAAAACAGAGAAAAAGAAGGGTCTAATTGAGAAAATAAGAGAAAAACTTAGCCGAACAAAAGAAGAAACTGCTGAAATTTCCAATGAACTGAATTTGAAGAAGAAAGAAGAAGACAAGCAAAATCTTGTTAAACTCCAATGTGATAGTTCTGACTCTAGTAGTGACTCTGGCTCTGAATCTTGTTCGGTAAAATATATTCTTTACTACAAATGAACATGGATACTTCTCATGTACATACTAAGCCTATTTGTTGATTATTTTTAATGCAGGAAAATAAGAAAAATAAGAAGAAAGTGATGAAGAATAAGATAAAGAAGAAAGCAACCAAGAAAAACAAGGGAGAGGAGAAAACAGATGATAATCTCCAGTGTCATCACAGTTCGGACTCGAATTCTGGCTCTGGTGATGATAGCAGTGGCTCTAAATCTGGCTCAGGAGATGATAGCTCTGGGTCCAAATCTGGCTCTGGAGATGACTCCAAATCTAATTCTAGCTCTGTAAGAAATGCTAACATCATCAAAATTTTCATATCCTTCGTTTGATTAAGGATCCATTATTTCTTGTCACAATATAACAATATGAATATGTTTATACTTATGTTGTTCGGATTTAGAAATTTAACACAAACTCATGAAATTGCTTAATTAATAAAATTCAATTGATCAAGTACAAATCCCTTAGGAGAGATGTCATAATTTCCTTAATAATTGTAGCAAATTAGTTTTATTTTTTAAAGCTAACCGAGGCAAGATGTCCAGGGAATTTGTGAATTTAAGAAATAAGATACAAAGTGTATATGAAGAGAGAAGGTAGGTGTATGTTTACATGCGTGAATTTATAAAGTTTAAGTGGCTTATACATTTTGCTAATACTACTGCTTTCGTTCTTTCTTTCCTCTTCTTTTTTACTTAGGCAAGTGGCAAGGAAAAATCTAAAGTAACAGGAGCCAACAAAGAGAAAATGAAGGGACAAAAGATGAAGATGAAGGAGAATCCAATCGAGAATAAGGTAGAGGAACATCAAGCTGCAATGGCTGAACATGAGATTTCATATGAAAAGAAAGAAATTAAGGAAGGCCAAGATGAAGGAGAGAAAGCAAAAGAGAGTGAAGAGAAGAAAAGCATGTTTGGAAAAATCATGGACAAGCTGCCTGGATACTGCAAGAACAGTGGTGAATGAAGTGAGAGTGCCATTAATATATACTACTATATTATTACATACCTTATATTTATTATGTTTTTAATAATTACGCATGTTGGTGCGTATATGTATGTATCTATGTAATTTGGGATGTTTGGTTGTATGATTTTCCTTCTTTCGGTGTGATGTGCATTTAAGCAGTCTTTGACAGTAAACAATGTACTCCTTTATTATGCAATTCTACGAATAAATATATTGCTTGTTTAATTATTTTTCTTCTTATATAGTTTCACTATTTAGGGCATATATTAGGAGCATGATGATCCTTAGGACTTTCTGTTGGAGAATATCTTTTTGTCATGCAATTGCGAATCATGAAGTTGCAATGATAGTCCATTCTTTGAGATGCATAATCCTAAACTCTAAACTTTTGTCTTATGAGATTTTCAAATTGAATTTATCTTGCTGCAAGTAATTCATTTAACTCAACCACTTTGTGAAAATCATGGATGTGGAAGTTACATGTTCCATCACGCGAAATAAGTTGCAATTACAAATTTATTTATAACTTTAGAAAAACTCGATCAATGTTTAATCTTCAGTTCACCCACTCCAGGGAGTGATAGTTAAAAAGGATAAACAGAGAACAATACTCTTAACATGTGTCGATTTCATGAATAGGGATAAGTTATCCACCCAGTATTCCATTTAAATTTTATTAACCAAGAACTAGATAAATTACAACTTCTTGTTGTATGTGCTTCACTTACTCAACTTTTGTCTCAATGGTGTTCAATTCAAATCTCGTTTGGGTCTGGCATCAAGTAGATCTTAGAAATTACTGTTGTCATTGCACCTGAATCACATGTACAATATAGGCGCCAACCTCTTCACTAAGCATTCAATATAAGCTCTTTACTGCTATGTCAGTTTGTATGGAAAAAATCCTATACAAAAAGAAACATATCTTCCTTTCCTTCATATCACTTAAATAAAGTATTTGCTTACTGATTCTCAAGTAAGAAAATAGTTTGAAACAACAAACTACTTTTTTTAATTATAAATTCTTAGGTTAGCTACTGTTATATTAAATCGATAGGAAACTTATCTTCTATGTCTGGTACTTGATGCCAGATATATTTAAAAACATTATTGTACATTTCATATGGATGTACAAAAGATTTTAATACATTCTGTAATTTTAGACCAATGCAAAAGATAATTTATTTTATTTGAAAGTGGTTTTAAATAGGACCTGATAGAAAACTGTTAAGATAATATATGCATAGGAAGCAAGGGTAAAGGGAATTAAAATTTTATCCTCTAACACTGCTTGCAGCTTGAGATCGGGGAACTGACTGTAAATTTTTCTTAAACAATATTGTATGAATCTATAAATTAACTTTCTGACATAGATTAGTTTGCTTTATCCTACTCAGGTTGTGTGCATGTTTTCCTTTGGATCCACCCCAGACCATGAGCAACAAACTCACTTAAGGTCCATTTCTTACTAGATTTATTCGGTCTAATTTGAATTTGGACGGCTCTTATTCTATTCCTTGTTAGATTTATCTAGAGCCTACCATTGTAGAATAAAGCAATTTTTTTCACTCTCTTTGTTTTCTACTTTGTCGGCTAACATATAGGAGGTTCTTGGTGATTGTACCGTGAAACTTTTCTCTGATTGAACTATTATAGCCCATAATTGGTGTATAATGAAAGCACATTGAACTACTATAGCCCATAATTGGTGTATAGTGAAAGCATACACCCCTTCATGAATGTATGCATCCAAGATGCAGCATTAGGCATCCGAAGCTGCTGAAATGTAACATGACAGTGTATCCTACGTAATCATCAAGCTCGATCTTTTAAATAATTCTTCATCAATCTATCTTTCGTACCACCGTCATCAATCGATTATCTCCTTCATCTCCTTCACATCATGTACTTGCTCAAATCTCAGGTCTCAAACCTGCATATAAATATCTGTTATAAACTTTTCTGCAGAAACCACAAGATATATACCTTGAGTCTATAGAGGTATATCAAGAATACTTACTATTCTTCGAATTCTGAATGGCTTGCTCACACTCAATGGCTGATCGAGTCTTAGTTTCTGGATTGGAGAAAGTGGAGGTTGAAGAAGCTCGGAAAACTACGAAAGTGGAGGGAGGCATGAAACGGGACGGGGACGGCTCTGGATCAGGGTCAGACACTGGAGACAACTCTGACATGGTATGTAGTCCTTAAAAATATACTCTAGGCTATAAAATCAAAACATGTACTATGAGGTTATATAATTCTGGGGCACAATGTAATGTTAGTATCATTCTTTGCCTGAAACTAGTATACCTTGAACAAGAGTGGCTGTTATGTCAGAGCACCTAAATTTCTGGGACCAATATAAAAAAGGGTGAATTTCAAAAAACCCTTTAAGTTTGGCCAATTTGAGATAACCCTCCTAAACTTTGAACGTGTTACTCAACCCCTTACATTTGGGGTGTTTTAGAAAATCCCACAATTTTTTCAATTCACACCCGTAATAGTGTTAGATGAACTAGTAAAATGACCACAATATCCTTTTCAAATAAACACTAATTATTAGAATACATTAATTAGTCAGGAGAATTTTGGCCAAAATTGGACCAAATTAAAGGGGGTTTTGTGAAAACTATCTCTAAAATTATTAAAAAGGACATCCATCAGGGGTATTTTGGTCATTTTCGACAAACTTGATTTTCACATGCACAGTTAGATCTTACATCATTGATTAGGGAGTTTCATGAAATTTACCTTAACAAAAGTTAAGGGTGTTAAGTGAGACTTATAGAGTTAGGGGGTTATCTAAAAAATGACCAAACTTAAGGGGACTTTTGTGAAATTTACCCTAACAAAATCTGAAATAGAAACTCTGCGTCTGATATTTTGAATTTGAATTTGAATGAATAGTTGGTCTTTGCCCAACTTTTTATTCATCCAATATTTGATCACTCATCAACAAAGTCTGCTATTTTCTGTACACAGGGAAGTGAAAGCTCAGATGGAGAATTGAAAGAAGCAAAGAAAAAGGGTCTTAAGGACAAAATCAAAGAAGAACAAAACAAAGCGAAATGTAACAGTCCTGACTCTAAGTCTGGGTCCAGTGAGGATTGTAGTTCAGGATCTGAGTCAGATTCCAAAATGGTAGAGAATTCTGAATACTTGGATGGATATCAGTTCTACATATTTTTTTAGCTAATGAATATGCTACTTTTTAATCAAAACATAAGATAAGGCTTCTGATTTATTTTGTAAACTGAAAAGAGTTTAAATAAATTAAAATCACTCTATTGATAGAACATTTGATTAAAAAATCCTTGACAACATGGCACATTGCTGCTCAGAGTGATAATGCGGCACCTATGACAGTCCATATCCATCTCATTCTACAATGTTAGGTTCTTATAAAGTACTATATCTTTCCTTATATATTTCCTGTTAGATGTTAAGATGTAGAATTCATGTTCGTATCAAACTCAAAGGTGTCTTATTTTGGCACTGAAATGATAACTTGTATATAGTATATACATATGTTCATGAGTATCAGTCCGTAGCATATTTCCTTATTAAATATTTTCTTTGTAACAGGCAAGTGAGAAAGATGATTCAAAATTAACAAGCGCAAATACAGAGAAAATGAAGAAGCAGATGCAGCAAAAGAAGAAGAAAATTTTGAAAATATCAGATGAAGGGAAGGAAAAGACTTCCTCCACAGTTGCAGCAGAGGTTCAAGGAAAAGAAATGAAGAAAATTAAAGAGAAACAAAGCAAGAAGAAGAAGAGTCAAATACTTGCTGACTCTGATTCTGAATCTAAATCTGACTCTGGTGCTGACTCCAAGTCTGACTCTGAGTCAGTCGCTGAGTCTAAGTCGGATTCTGAATCCAAATCTGATTCTGGTCCTGACTCTGACTCGGATTCCAAATCTGACTCAGCTGCAGAGTCTAAGTCTGATTCAGACTCCAAATCTGATTCTGGTCCTGATTCAGACTCTGACTCTGATTCTGATTCCCAAGCTGAGTTGTCGGTAAGATACAATTAATTTACTTACATGCATGCGTGCGCATATTATAAACATAAGGCTATAAATACCTGGAAATAACAAATAAATCACATACAATCACTTGCTTGATCACAATTATAAACGTTATATACTTCTAAAGTATCGCATGTTTAAGTGACATGTCTTTCCTTTAACTCAGAAATCCAAGAAACATAGTTCCAAGGAAAAAGGTAAAAGGAAGAAGAGGGGAGTCAAGGGACTGGAGAACAAAAACAAGATCATAACCAACACCAAGATGGATGAATCGACTGCAACCAAGGATCAAACAGAGATGGCAACTATTGAAGAAAGGATGAAGGAGGAGATCAAGTGCAATGAAGTGAAGAACACTGAGGAGTAAATTGGGCAGGCAAAGACGAAACTCAATATCCATTATAATGATATTATATGTGATGTTTATGTTTATGTGTATATAATCTCTTGCTTCCATTCATGTTGCTTTTTCCAGCATTTTATGTGGTTCTATCAAGTGTTTGTGACATTTTATGTACTGAACTGTATGCACTATGAATAAATTGGTTCTTTGATGTTAGTAAATATTTGGTTATGCTTTTGTTGGGTATACGAGATGTTACATTATTTAACAAATAGTATGTCTTATTTATCAGAATAATCTGTTGAGTGCTTCAATATAATTGTGTAACAAAATGGACGGGTCTTAGTATTAATTTACGTTATCTTATACCAAAAAATGTGTTTTTCTAAAGGGTTTTTACCTACGTACACTCCAAAGCTAACCAATTTACAGATTTGTCCCCTGAAATCTAACTATTTGCCAATTTTCCCCCACATTCTTTAACATTGTGTTAAAATACTCTTCTTAGCAAAAGTGTTAATTTTCAAATAGAGGAAGAGAAAAATGACCAAATTACCTTTCCTTTCCATCTCTCTCCCTAACCCTGGCAAAAGCCCCTCTGGGACCCTGATGCCTCTCAGTTTCACTCCTCTTTGTGTGGGTGGTCTCCCCTCTATAAACATATTTGGAAAGTAATCTAACTAAGGCGGTATATTTGTCTTATTTTAAAAAATAGTAACTAAAAATATGAAAATTTTGGAGGGGCGTATTTCCACTCAGAATTTCTAGAGCGTTAGTTTAATGAGATTTCATTCTATCAAAACGCTCCGTATACGAAGGCACAATTTGCACCTTTCATGGGGGTAGAGGGGGAATTTCATATTGCATTTTAATCCACTATGGAAGAATATAGGGGTAAATTCGAAAAATAGCAAGGTTTGAGGAGTAAATCTGCAAATATGATAGATGTAGAGGTACGGACAGGTATAAAAACCCTCTTCGTACATAAATAACTAAAACGTAGCGGTCGTTTGTGCAAAATCATCACTCCCACCCCTCTACAAGTGCCAAAATCTCATAAACCCTCGCCTCTCCCCTTCTTCTCAATCCCAAAGCTCCTCCAATGGCGACCTCCACAAACCCTAACGGCCACCCCAACCTCACCCCAGGAAGAAAACCCCTCGGTTTAATGGCGAACGCGATGAAGAGGAAGGAGAGCTTCTTCCAGTTCTTCTTCATGACTGGAATCCTCATGCTCAGCCTTCGATCTCTCGGCCAGAAGTACCGAATCCACGATCTGACCAACGATAACTACGAGCTCAGGCAGGAGGAGGAGTCTCTCTCGATGCGCATGGCGTCCATCAAGGACGCGCTCCTTCGCGAGGCGGCGCTTGATTCTTCTGGGCTGCTTGCATCGCAGCTCCGCAGGCTATTCCAGGAGAAGAATTAAGGTAAAGTAGATTTTTTGTTGTTGTTTTCTTGCTGATGTGATGTTATTCATGGTGGTGTTCTCGTCAGTGAATTGGGATTGTGAGATCGATTTGATCTTTTATATTTAGGGATTGGTTTGTTAAGATTTGGTGTAGATTAATGAAGAGAAATGGGGGTTCAGGGGAAGAAACAAAGACTAATCAGAGAAGAATTTATTTGGAATTTTTTCCCCGTTTAATTGGGGATGGTAGCTGAAGCAGTGAAGAAGGAGATGATAGTGGGTAACTCAATGGAGGAGATAACCCTAAATAGGAATGAACAGAAGCATAGGATTCATGTAGCCTGATCCCAAAATTTGAATAGGAATCCTATCAGGACAGCCCACATGCGAGCAGGATGTTCTGAACCATACAAGGGATTGGTGCAATTGCTAAATTGCTCTCCACTAACTCCTTGTATCGATTGGATCAGCCTGCTCACAGGCGGGCCGTTCTGATATGCTTTATTCCCTGCTATCTCAATATCGCTTTATTGAGATTAGCAATAGGGAGGAGTCGGGATAAGAAAGATATAGAAGAAAGACTCATGGAAAGATCTATCCTTTTTGGAGAGGTGAATATAGGCTAGTGTTGTCTTTTGTTATTGATGACTGTAGATATGTTGTTAGTTATTTCATCATATTCTTGGAATGGAATTATGGATCATAATTGTCCGCCCAGAATCCATTACTTGCACAGACCTTAGTAGAGCGTTTTTACAATAAGTTATTAGTACCTTAGTATTCAGATGTTTGGAATACAGAAATTCATAGTTGTATTTACTGGTGCAATTTACAATTGGTAGTTACAATTGCATTTGCAGCTATTTGTTTCATTGCAATTGTAGCGCCTTGCAACTGTAGTTGCAAAAAGAACCTCTTATTGCAAAAATGATTTTGCAATCAAAATGGTCACATATTGTTTTTCGCAAAGTAGTCCTTTTTGTATTGCAAAAAAAACTGCAATTTAATGTAACAAATAACAGAAGCTGCCTTTTGCAAAATTACACCTGCAGTTGCAATTTTTCTACATCCCAAACAACCTCTATATCCATTTCTAAAAACAGCTTCTACTTTATTCTTTGAATAAGTGTCCACACTTATTAACTTCCCAATTTAATGCATAAAACTTGTGTGAATATTCTGTCTTATTACTTAAGTCAGTCTTGCCTGTATATGAATATCGTCGTGCATGTCAAGTCAATCTTGATTGTACTATAAATATTGTCATACATGTTGTACTGGCATTGCAGGTTATGAAATATTTTGACACACTGAAAAAGGATGTTTGAATCGATTAGCCTTATATTTGAATGCAAATTTTAGAAATGAAATATCTCGAGGGGATCATGTATGGAAGAGATTCAAGTACCATTATGGTCTAGGTCTACAATTTAAACTGATGGAATATTTTTAGGAAGTTGATCTTACTGTGAACTTGCCAACTAAGTGTCAAAGCTATGTAGAGCCTAGAGTAAGGAAATAGGAAAGTAATTAATAGGATTAAGTTCTTTTGCACAACGAGAAAGCAATGGAGAGACCACTTTTTCAATTATAACCGTCTATTATTTGGTGGGCAATTATCATTTTCAGAGTGTAAAATGGAAATGTGTGGAAATCATGAGTTTGAGGTAAATCTTAGATTTTGAATGAATTATAAACCACTAAATAATAGATGGTTGTGATTGAGGAAGTTGAACTCCAATAATTTTTGGCAATAGAGATCCAAATCTGTGATGATTATGAGAGGAGGTGGGGCACAACACAAGAGACTGGAGAGATAAGTGGAAGTTATGCAACCAGACAAACATTTAGTGCTTTTCCCTCTCCTTTGCTTTTGAAAAGTATGATAAGTTTTCTATTGAAACAAGTCCAAATTTTATTTAACACTGCATTAAGTAGTGGTTACTTTATTCCTGCTATTAGCCATTGTTTTAAAAAACGATTTGGGCAACTGCCTAAGTGGCCTCTTAAACCTAAGTGGTACCTAGGCCGTCCATAAGTCTTAGGAGGGCCTACAGGAGAACGGGCTACTTATGCAGACTATGTGGTGTTAGAAAGAGATATATTGCTCACTTAAGCATAGTAATGATTGAAGAAAGTTTGCCAACTTAAAATGTACTGGAGATCAAAAACTTTATGTCCAAGTCTGTCTCAAGTAAAAACAGTTAGGACATGATTTAAATATTCGAAAATGATCATTTCTCTCTCGCTATTAAAAATGTCTATGTGTTGCTTAAGCGTCCACCTAGGCACCCAGGTGCTAGGCGCTAGGTTTGACGCCTAGAAATGTTTAGCGCTTTCTAAAACGTTGCTATCAGCCACTTGCACAGTGCTTAAGGTCTTGTAATATTACTTGATCACAAGCACTATTATTATTAGCAAGGAAGCTCATAGGTTCGTAACCTAAGCAAATGGTTAACAACCTTGAATTCTGTTACCTTTAACACGTGACTTCTATAATTTGAAAAAGGAAAATATCTAAATATGATTATAATCAGTTTCACTAGTGTACAACTTCACATCCTTTTGACAACCATGTCCATAAAGATGTCCATCACTTAACATCAAAGAATATTCTGCTACTGCAATAAAATTTCTTCCACCTCTGTACCAAGTGAGGTCATAAGTTCCTTTATACTTCTTACACATCCTCAGGTTTTGCGAACAACCATGTCCACCTTGAAGTCCATCACATAAACTTTGTTTACAACCCGCATTGCTAATTAACCTGATCTGCAGTCTGAATTGAGTGAGCCAAATCATACTTAACTTGTTTGGGTAATATATATCTTGTTATGCATAATCTAGGCATAATGTAACCATAAGAAGTTCCTTGGATGCTTATGTATCCTATAATGAACGAAAATATGTACACACATGGACATACATGTGTGTGTGTGTGTGTGTGTGTGTGTGTGATGTGTGTGTGTATTATATCCATGGTTATATATAAATTATACACACAATCGTTGTTTTAAATATCGGCCTACATGACCTATATATCGTCTGATATGTTGTTTTATAAATCTTGCCGCAAAAATGTATGGAGCCATATTGTTTACTGCTTTTGGCAATTTTTGGCGACATCAGTATTCTTTGATATATCAGCTTATATTTCAACTTCAAAAATATCGCAAAATGTTGTAATATCGATTTGGGCTTATAATTTTTTTAAAGTCTTAAAGTCCCACATAAAAATTGGGTTTTCATGGTGGATGTTATGTTAAGCTTTGACTCAGAAGATGTCCAAAAAGGTTTAACTTGGAGTTACATACAAAATAAGTTCAGTCCTAGCATTATACATATTGGTAAGTTCTTTAATAATTTCGCGATTTAAACATGATTAAAAGAACACTTTCTTCATAGCTCTACTACTATGTGATGCATCAATTATGAACATCTATATATACACATTATCAGACATGATGCCTTGATATTTACTAAATATCCCTGACCTAATATCCGCCATCAAGTGTGGAATTTTCCTATCCTACATGTTCCTGACATCCAACACTTACAACACTGCATAATTATCAAGGCAACAAGGGCTACCATTACAAAAAACAACATGATTCACCTAATGCATCTGTTCGTAACATGCATAATAACGCATTCCCATGTCTGCACCACAATCAAAAGCATACAATTAACCAGCCAACGTTGTTCAAGGCCCTTATACTGGTTTCGATGAACCTCTCTATTAAAGCCAGCATCATTACTGATATGACGCTAGTCTCATAAATGTTACACTTTCTGTCTAAAACAATTTCACTTGTCTTATCTTTCTCTCGCTCTTGCTTCAACGCAAGCATAGTATTATTACTTGCTTCACTGGTTTTCTACTTATTTATTATTTTCCTCCCAAACCTTATATTATCATTTGAACAGTTAGAATCATGAGATAGAGAAATAATTGATATAGGGTTTAAATAAGGAATAATGCCTGTTATCTGAATTTAGAGCAAATCCTATGTGCTGAAAGAATTTATCTAGCAGGATATGTTTGGTTGATCTACACCGTGTTGATATTTCAAACCCTTGTTGGATATGTTTCTGATACTTTGATACTCTGCCACTTGAAGAATACATGTCAGGTACTTCTTTTTCTACAAGAACTGGCCCTTATCCCAAAATTTTGGGATCGGTACATTAATCCTAGTCTATTAGGTTTGATTTTAATATAGATCTGAGATCTGACTAGATTTTACGTTGACTAGTGGGTACCTAATACAACTCTCTTTTATTCTTGTGGGACAGCCAGTGAAAGATAAATATTAATGCACAATATTGCCAGAGCTTGGATACTCCTTTTGATATATCCTAATATTTACTACATCTAAGATATACATCTAACAATTAAGTTGGGAGACATGTGCGTGAATGATCAGTTCAGGGTTTTATTTGTTTCTGAAAATTCATTGCATTTCGATAACTTGTGCAGATCCTTAAATGGAGTATAATTTTATTTAACTATTTTTTATATATAAAACATTACAAGTATCCTAGACATCTTCTCTGTTAATTCTTCCAATCTTGCAAGTTCATACCACAAATAATGGTAATTAGTGGACACATACATTTATCATGTCATATCCATGGGATACTTTACCTTCGAGTTTTTAAAATTTCCACATACTTTGGGTGCTTCTTTATTTGCCTCTTTACAAGCTTTTGGTACTACACTATCAACAGCAGTACCTATTTTCTGTGTGCAGCTTGAAATTATCATTTTTTTCTTTTTTTTTTGGATCAGATATTCAGCTTGAAGTTATCTGCTCATCTATGCCTTCTTTCGTTCGATCATTCTATATTCAGTTTTGAGCGTTTTTTGTTTGACTCCTCTCATTTTAGCTTTCTCCAAGCAAGGTTTTAAATGTCGTCCGACATGTCCGACATGTCGGCCGACATATCGGTTTGAGGGCTTGACCGACACGACATGGACGTTTTCAACTCGTATGTTGGTTTTCAGGGCCAAATAGGAAATATCATGGTCATATCTGGCATATCGGCCTATTTTTTAGCTTTGAAAAATCGGCCGATATGGTACTTTTTTTTAAGATCTGTTTTTTGTTATCGGGTTTGAGTTTAGTGATAAATACTCAAACCCGTTTGCAGGCTTATTGAGGCGCGCGCCTCGGGCGCGCCCCGGGCGCGGGGCGCTTCGGCCTAGGGAAATGCGCCCTGCACGCGAGGCGGGGCGCTGCACGTAGCGAGGCGCGCGCCTCGCGTGCGCCTCACTTGCGCCTCGCTCGCGCCTCGCGTGCGCCTCGCGCGCGCCTCACATGCGCCTCACACCTGCGTTATGTAACATACTCTTTCTTCTATTTTTTTAAAATAATTTACATGCACATAATTGTTAATCACTTAATTTGATGATTTAAATACATGTTTCTTGTATCTTTTTTGTTACTTTAAAAATTCAGTTAGCATAATTTGATGATTTAAGTTGATATTCTCATAATTTTGGATGTAGGTAACTAATATGTTGCTTATATGTTTCTGCCTTATGATGTTGGCAAATATTAGTTTGAGTTATGCGCCTCAATTAGTAAGGCGCGCGCCTCGTTGTGCGCTTTGCGCATGGTGCGCGTAAGGGACCTTTGCGCCCCGCATTGCGCTTTGCGCCTCGATAACACTGCCCGTTTGACCTGTTCTCATGTTTAAGGGTTTCTTTATGAACCCATAGAAAGAATTTATGAACCCAAATCCAGTGTTATCGAGGCGCAAAGCGCAATGCGGGGCGCAAAGGTCCCTTACGCGCACCATGCGCAAAGCGCACAACGAGGCGCGCGCCTTACTAATTGAGGCGCATAACTCAAACTAATATTTGCCAACATCATAAGGCAGAAACATATAAGCAACATATTAGTTACCTACATCCAAAATTATGAGAATATTAACTTAAATCATCAAATTATGCTAACTGAATTTTTAAAGTAATAAAAACGATACAAGAAACATGTATTTAAATCATCAAATTAAGTGATTAACAATTATGTGCATATGTTTATAAATTGTCACATAAAAGACTAAGAAATATAATTAACAAACATGATTGTTCATAATTTTCTAGTTAGTATTCTTAATTGATATTTGCTACTTAGCATGAAAAGATGAAGAATGAATGTAACAATTACATATTTACATGTTTATAATTTGCTAGTTAGCATGATAATTAGAGAATGAAGTTACAATTAGCAAACAAGTATACTAAATTACTAATTATTGTTTCCTTTTTATAGGTTAAACATGAAAAGATGAAAATAGATTAGCAACTAGTAAGAAAGAGTATATTACATGATATAAATATGTAATTATGTAAATTATTTTAAAAAAATAGAAGAAAGAGTATGTTACATAACGCAGGTGTGAGGCGCGCAAGTGAAGCGCACGCGAGGCGCGCGCCTCGCTACGTGCAGCGCCCCGCCTCGCATGCAGGGCGCATTTCCCCCAGGCCGAAGCGCCCCGCGCCCGGGGCGCGCCCGAGGCGCGCGCCTCAATAAGCCTGCCCAAATCCATATATTATTTACTTTTTTATATGTTTAGTCTATAGAATTTATAAAGTATGCTTATATTGAATTTATGAATGCTTAGATTACATTTAGGACATGATATTATACATATACGCACTACCCGATATAACAATCCGATATTTAGTTAATGTCCCCTGATATATCCCTGATTTTCGCTATCCGACATGGATTTCAGCCATCCGACATCCGATATTTAAAACCTTGTCTCCAAGTAATGCTTCATTCATTATAAAATTTAGGCCCCTTTCATTTCAAATAATCTAATAATTTCTAAATCTCAAATTATGCTGTCACTTCTTTTTGATGCAGCTGTCTGCAGGTTCATTGTTGCTCAATCATTTGAGCTGCGATTTGGTGGTTTTGACCTGTTCGCTTGATTATGTAATACTGGAGTATGATGTACCTTGTATTTCTTCATCCAGATTTCAGCAAGTTGAGTGTGCAGATATAATGTTGAGATAGAATTCTATCTTTACTCTCATCTTTTGAATGGCCTGGTAGAATTTGATCCGAGTTACTGTATCTACTT